TTTACAAAAATATAAATAACTTAGACCATGTGAAGTTTAAAACAGTGGTAAGGTATTTAAGAAAAAWTGGTTGACTTTATTTGACACTATGGTTAATATGCACTGGATTTTTAAGCAAAAAATACAGTGAAATTCAAATGTATATATGTACCTATCAGCAACTTGTAAAAAAATGCTAGGAAATATCATAAATACAAAATATTTTAAATGAATTTTTATTGAATTACTGAAATGGCATTAAAATAAAGTTATATCTATGTTGTATAAAATATTCAATACTGAAAATGTTATGCCTATTGTTCAATTAAGATGCTCTAATTAGTCTGTGATAATCAAATATAAGTGGCCCAAATACTGTTATTAAAATAGTGTTTTATACTGTTTAATTGATAGTCTATATTACTGTAAGCTATAAATCATTTGTACTTTTTTGAATATAATTGCTTATTACCAAATTATTTCAATTACTTGTAATAAACATAAACAATKTCATTATTATTTAATAAATAAAAAATAAGATATGAGCAAAATATAAATTATATAGTTAGTTAGTTTAGTTGAATTTTCTTTAATTAAAAAAATTATAATTTATAATGAATTATATACTTGAAGTGACAAACGAATAGAAAGAAACACAATCAAAATAATACTAATATATAACATAAATACTTGTAATTCAGGGAAAATGATTAGAAATCAATACCATTTMAATAAAATCCTAACATTATAAGTTAATCGCCAATCAACATCATGCTAAGAAAAAAAACCGAATATCCATACAAAAAAAAACAACAAAATTATGATATGAATTAAAAGAATTAATAAATATAAAATTTTTAATATGAATTAACTCATTAACATAAATATACTAGCTATACAAGATCCCCCCAATTTCTTACTATATTTTTTTATATATTCTACTGAACTATTTTTGATTCACTTCTTAATCATCTAAATCACCATTTTTATTTTTTCCAAGATATATGAGGTCTTGAACTTATTGAACTCTCAAACACCCTTAACTAGGATCAATTTAAAGTAAATTTAAAATTACAACTTAAAATTAGTTACTTTGAACCTGAGTAATTTGTTGATATTGTACTATTATAAATATAATATTTTAGTATAGAACACTAATAATTAATATAATAACTTTYTATCATCCACAACAAGTTTATTTGTGTTTAAAATAAAAATGGAGAAATAAATACAATTTAAAGTTAAATTTAAATTTATCAAGTTTTAGTAAAAAATGGATACAAGATCAAGAATAATCAGTTTGTATTCAAATTATTGATAATAGTAGATTGACCACCCATCCTTGTTAATTATAATATAAAATTATTACTTTCAGTTCATGTTATAATAGTTGATTTTATGGTTGATAATTCTATATAGTTTATTAGTTTATTACTAACCATATGAACTTGAATATTAGATTCTACTATGAATGTCATATCCCTTTAATTTACATTTTTGATGGTGTTTTTAATTTGATACATTAATGGGATCGTTAAATCAAAATTATTTTTAAACATATTGTTATTTAACATTAATAAATAACTGTATCAATAAACCTTTTACTGCACATTGATAAATAAACATTGTTACTAGAAGACAGCAAAAACAAATGTTGTGTTTCATAAAAATATGATTTATTATAATCTTTGAAGTATATACAACTAATATTTTTTATAGAAATTAAAAGAAAATTCTAAAAATTAATAGTTGTTTTTTTTTTAAACTTATTTGGCTTTTGAATGCGATGATTATATACTTACTACTCTCTTTTAAAAATAAKGATACAATAATCTAATGTAAGCTCCTTATTACATTAAATCAGCATATTTTGTATACTGTAAGTAATAACTCATTTCCTAAAATTGCAAAATATGATATAAGTTTGAGATTTTTAATACAATAATTATTAGTAGATATTTTGATTTGATACAAATTTGGAAGTCAGGTTAAAAAAAATGATAAATATTGTACAGTTTTTCAATTTTTACAGTATTTTTATTATTATTATTTTTTGTAACGAAAGACACGGATCAACTTAAGAGTTTGCATAATGAAAAACTTATTTGATAAGTGTAGTAATGTGTATACACAACACACAAAAATAGACTAAAATATTATGCATAATTATGTTTAAATAATTAAYACTGTTATTATAAGTTGAAAAAAATGTTCATTACAAGTCACTATACTCAATAAATTATTACACACTATATTTCCTAAATTAGTTGACATATGCTGAACCATCAAACATGAACACAAATAATTAAGAGGGAAGTAGAACTACAATATGAAATTTGTCATTAAAACTCATCTAGCTAAATAATGATCCATAACTCCTAATACTAAATAAGTTATAAAACAGTATCATTAAATCTCATATCAAAAAA